TTTCCAAGGGTCCATCACTGCATGGTGGAAAAATAAATACATAGCTTACTCAGATCATACTGTCTGAAGCAGACATGCAAGGTGCTGAAGCTTTGTGGAGCCCTGGGCAGCCTTTTTTGCTGGACACTGCTTTTTGAATGTTCATTTTATAGAATGGGTAAGGAATGCATTCAGGGATGGGGGAGAGGCTTTGCACACCGAAACGTGTCACGAAAGGATGGTCCTTGTCTGATTGAGGATTGCCTATTTCCAGAAAGCAGAGACCAGCAGGAGGGCACAGCCAGCTGAGGATGGAATCAAAAGGAAAAGGTTTGGGAATTTGAATTGGTGCAATAAGCAATAGTCACTGCACGGCTGCTACCTCATCTGTGCCATAGGGTGTGTAAAATTCTAGCAAAAAAAGTATTTTTAGGATGGTTTAGAGGAGCACCATATTGTGCTTGACATAGGCTGTATTCATGTTCTGCCTTCTTATACCAGGGGAATTTTGCTTTCCCCTTAGCAGGCAAAGTGTTCTAGCAGGAGCTATTTGAATCCAACCTTCCCATCCTTTAACTCATCTCAGTAAACCTGATCAAAAGGCTTACCTAATATGTTTTAAGTTAAATGTGGGTGTCAGCTTCATAAAGAACAAAATACAGAACCCTGGAGGCACCCACTGAAATTATTAGGAGAAAGGTTTAGAACAAAAAAAGAGAAATTACTTTGCTACATGGAAGATAAGGATTTCTTAGCTTGGTTTCTTTTTTTGGACCAACTATGTGTTTGGGATAGAGTTAGAAAGGAACCTTATAGAACTGGGATGAGGGCAATGTTCAGAAGGGACTGACACTTTGCATTGTACCTTTGTTCATTGGCGCAGCGATGGACAAGCGTGCAACTGCCCAGCTCTATAGGTGTAGTAGTGCTGGTTTCAGTGGTGATTGACCTCTCTCTCTCAAGTACCCATTGTTCCAAGATGGGAAAAATTTCTAAGATGGGCATTTAAGTGGCTGAAAGCTTGCAGAACTGTGTATGTCCTCTATTTTTCTGCTTTATTCTGTTTAATTTATAAGAGAGTTGAAGAGACACATCGGGCACTGGGTAAACATCATCCATGCACACAAACATGTCATTAAAAGGTCCTGCCCTTTCTTGGGCATCTGATCTTTGTGTAAGGCAAAGACAGGAAGGTGAATCCAGCAGATTGTGGATACACAAGGTAAAAACGAGAATCTAATTCTTAATGTGATGAGCAGAAGTTGTAGTATGATGCCTACCCCATCACTGTGTAGCATTGCAGCAAAAGGGTATTTTTTTAGGAGGGATGAGAAGGGGACATGGTAAAAGTTTTTTAGTATTTTATGGGGTCCAAAGTGTTTAGGCCAGAAGAATTTTACTTTCAACTTCAGAGGTAAGATACCATGCCTATGGTGTTCAAAACTGTATTTTGTGATATATGATCACAGGCTGGAAGGGACCTCACAAGGACATCTAGTTCAATTTACTTGGACATTTTTAGACATGAGAGTTTAGCTTTAGTATCATAAGTTACATAGATATATTCACTTGAATGTTTTTGGACTATGAACATTTAATCATGTGGTTCATATCACCCTGTAACAATGACTTCTCCTCTTCGTAACTTACTAGTTGCACGCATTTGCATCTTCTCCCAACTTAAATAGCAAAATTTTCCATCAACATTTAGGTTCCTGTTGACTATGCCACATAACATCGGGGACAGAGCCGCGTGCCATTACTGTTCCTTACCATATTTCTCCTGACCACTCTCCACTCAAAGTACTGCTTTAGCTTAGTGGACCCTGGGTCCTGATACAGGACTATGGTGCAGAGATGGAGGGAAGAGAGTCAAGGTCAAGAGTGTTTGGGGTAGGGAACGGGGAATGCAATTCAACTCTATTTTGACTGCTCAGATCTCTGATAATCCAAATGTAAGGACACAACCTTTAGCTTCACAGTTTATTCTTTATGCAGTGCAGGGAAATCTAAAGATTTTCATTTATTTCAAATGCTGAAAAATAATGGGGGTCACTGCACAGGCTACACTGAAATTGTTCAGGAAAGAGTGGGGACAGAGAAAATGGAAAAGGTTTAATATTGCAACATTTGGGGGTGCAGAGGTCTTGTTTGGAAAATGCTGTATAAATGTGGTGATATCCATGAAGTAAAGATGCCATGGTAAGCTATCCTGTGTTGAAGGGGTTACAAAGTCATGGGTCAAAACTTGTTATTATGGAGCTTGTGACTATGGAATAATGCACTATTTCAGCATCAACCATGTATTCCTTTTAATACCTTATCTAAGGGATTAAAATCCACTAACAAAAGAATATTACGCTGGAGTGTATTGCTCCCCAGCACCGCATTTGAATGTGTGCCGGGGACTGCAGGAGGATGAGCCCGGTTGGAGCAGCCCCAGCTGGCAAGGGGGCTGCAGAAGTCAGCCTGCGCCTGGGGCTGCTGCAGCCTTCTCACTCACATCACTAACCTGTTTGGGAGATCCAGGCTCTGTCCTCTTCATATGCTTGCATTTATTTATGTAACTAGCCAAAAACAAAATCACCTTGGTACTGACAGGTTGCTAAATAAGTATGGAGAGCTGCAGAGCTCGGTGTTTGGGCAGCCATCTTGTAGCATGGTACCGTGTAACTCTTCCTCCTCCCCCCGGCCAGATTAATAGATTTTAAGGCCTAAAGTTATCATATTGATCACCTACTCAGGGGTCCAACTATATTTTCAGATGGCAAAACCATATTCAAAGTCTAAAGTTGTCAGATCCTCATACTTAGCTCAATAGCCTAGTTTATTGGAACATAATCCAAGGAAGCAATAGTGCTGGGGTCTAACCCCCCTCACCCAGAGAAGGCTGGAAAATAGATCTAAGCCCAGTAGTATAATGCCCAGTCCATAAGTTAGGCACTATCGTAACCGAAATTAGAATACAAGGCCCCCTCCTAACTAGACCATCCACCATCTCATTGAGCCACACAGCTTCTGGCTTGCTGCTTTCTTCTGTCTAACCATATCTCACTGGCATGGACATTCAGTAGGCTAGCTTCAAGGGCCTGAGTAGATCATGGATGCTTGTGGCACCCATAGCTGAATAGTAAACTTTGCCAAAAACATTAGTAGTAGTTGCACAGCTAGCTAACTTACATGTACGAGCATAAAGTTAAGTAAAAGTCTCCCTTTCCTGCTCCAAGTAAACTGAGGCACCTTTTTCTCTTCTATCTAATGCCTGATAATCATTGTTTATTGCTTATAGTTAGTGTATAAGATGCAACTCTATCCTGCTTTTTGCCTCACTTCACACTAACATGGCCAATCACCTTCCTTAATTCAAAGGCCACTGTCAAAGGTAGCCATTAGTGGTTCTGGTTTGTAGACTCTTTTCTTCTGTCTGTCTCAAAAAAGAGGGGGGAGGAGGAGGAGAGAGAGAGAGTGAGAGAGAGGGAGAGACAGAGAGGAAGTCAGACTGAAAATAAAGTTAGAGTTATTTGTTTTTCCAGATTATTTTTTTTCCCCAAGAGAGAGAAGCTGAACAAACTCTTGTGCTTTCAGTAAACTTTCCTTTATAGTAAACCAAACTGGGCTGTGTGTGTGAGGAAGCTTCTAGCTCATTAGCCCCCAGGGTGCCAGCACAGGTAAAAAGAGAAGCTACCTTTGCACAAGTAAAATAAAAGGGACTTGACAAAAATGGGGTCGGGGCAATGTCCAGAAAGGACTGTTGCTATGGGTTATCCCCTTTTCATTGCCACAGTGATGGATGAGAGTGCAGCATATCCTCTTTATTCTTCTGGGTTTTTTTCTCTTTATTGTATGAGACAATTGAAGAGACAAATCAGTCAGTGGACAAAGTGCTCTGTGCACACAAGTTTGTGGGAATAAGGAGGCCATGCCATTTCTTGGGTATTTTATCGTTTTTCAAGGCAAAGAAAGAAAGGTGATTCCAGCAGATTGAGGATACACAAGGTAAAAATGAGAGTCTAATGCTTAATGTGATCAGCAGAAGCTGTTTTGTGATACCTACACCATCATGGTGTAGAGTGGCAATAAAAGGGTATTTTAAGAGGGATGAGAAGGAGACACGGCAAAAGTCCTGTAGCTTCTTATGGGGTCTAAAGTGTTCAGGCCAGAGGAAAGATACCACTCAACTTCAGACGCAAGATAAAACTCCTACAGTGTTAAAAATTCCATTTAGGAAAATTAGGATCATAGGAAAGTAGGGCTGGAAGGGACCTTCACAAGGTCATCCTGCTTAGTATACTTGACCATTTTCAGTAATGAGAGTGTAACTTTGGTAGCATTAAGCTACATAGGTATAGTAACTTGAATGTTTTTGGACTACGAACATTTAACCAGGCAATTCATATCACCTTTCAAAGTGACTTTTCAAGGTCAAGGGTGTTTGGGGTCAGCAAGGGGAAAAGCAATTCAACAGCATTGTGGCTACCCAGATCTCTGATTATCCAAACTAAAGGACGCATCCTTCAGCTTCACACGCTACTGTTCATGCAATGCTGTTAGCAATAGCCACAAGGAAATTTTAAAAACATTTTCATTTATTACAAATGTTGATAAATAACAGGTGACAATGTCCTGGCTACACTGGAGTTGTTCAGGAAATAGTAGAGACACAGAAAAGGGAGAAGGTTTAGTGGTGCATCACGTTTGAAGGCAGAGGTCTTATTATTACATACATGCTGTAAAAATGCTATAATATCCACAAAGAAAAGATGCCATGGCATGCCATCCTGTGTTAAAGAGGTAAGAAAGTAATGGGCCAGCACTTGTGTTTTTGGAGCTTGTGATTATGGAGTACTGCGTGTTTCAAAATGCATTTCTTTCTCATGTGTATATGCTCTTTAGATTGCTAAATCTTTCTTTCTCCTGCCAGGGCTTCTTTTGGTGGTTGCCAAGTTTATGAATTTTGCTCTTTTCTTATTGTGCTGTTAACTGTTTTCATATTCTGTTATTTGTTGCAAGATGAACCGTACATGGAGAACCAGACAATGGTGACTGAGTTCATTTTCTCAAGTTTCACCAGTGACCCACAGCTGGAGATCTTCTTCTTTTTCTTGCTTTTACTCGTCTACCTCTTGACCCTGATGGGAAACATCATCATCTTCACCATCACCCTCCTGGACCATCGTCTCCACACACCTATGTACTTCTTTCTCCGGAATTATTCCTTCTTGGATATAGTTTTCACCCTTGACTTCATCCCCAAGATGCTTATCAACCTCCTAGTCAAAAAGAAAACCATATCTTTCCATAGCTGTTTCATTCAGGTGTTTTTCTTTTTCCTCCCAGGCGTTTCAGAGTTCTACCTTCTTGCTGTGATGTCTTTGGATCGATATGTGGCTGTTTGTATCCCCTTACGATATACAACCATTATGAACAGCAGTGTGTGTTGGCAGTTGGTTCTGGGCTCCTGGCTCCTTAGTTTCTTGTTAACGTTGCCAGGCACCATTATGACTTCCCAGTTAGTCTTCTGTGGACCCAATATCATAAACCATTTCCTCTGTGACTTCAACCCACTCCTCCAGCTCTCCTGCTCTGATACACAGTCCATGCAACTATTTATCCTGGGATCAGCCATTATTAATTTGCTGGGAACACTAGCAGTCAGCATCATCTGTTACGGATACATCATCTGGACTGTTATGAGCATCCCCTCGACCACAGGGAGGAAAAAAGCCTTCTCCACCTGTTCTGCTCACCTTATGGTTGTTACCATCTTATATGGCAGCTGCATTTTCACCTATGTGAGGCCAGTCCACAGTGTTTGGATGAGTTTTGACAAGGCAGTGGCCGTTTTCA